TTAGATTTGTGTTTACTATGTAATTTGTTACACAAAAAAAATTTGCCATGCAGATCATATGATAAATGATCTACGTACACTCTACTCTTAAAAGTTTTTATTTAAAATAAAAACTATTTTTGTTACTAGTCCTGCATGAAGAAGTTGATATATAATATTTTTAAAAAATTATAGAATTTCTAGACTGCAAAAGGACCCACTTCTAGTTATTACTTGTTAGAATATATGATTTAAAATGATTTATTATGTTTTTAATCATTTTTTTTTAATTTATGATTTTTTTAAAGACAAATTTAAAAATAATTCAACTGATAGTGTTAAAAAAATTTTACTTACTCTTGATAACTTTAATAATTTAGATCTTATTCAAATTTATCTTCATTTTATTTTAATTTATTCTCAAGAATTCGTTTATAATTTAAATTTTTTTTTAGACTCAAAATGAATCTGTTTTTCCTTTGGTATATAACTATTTAGAACAACTATTGGCTTACCTTCAATCAAACCATAATTTTAATTTCTTTTCTGAGAAATTAGATAATACAATTCATTAACAAAAGAGTGATTCTTTATAATTTTATTCAATATTTTGTAAAATATTTAAAATTGTATATAAAAATTTAATTCTTATATTTACATTCATCCTTTATATTTTTTATTTAAAGCATATCAAATATTTGATTCTTCTTATATTTGTTTTGACTTATTAGAAAGAAAAATATTCATCAATACTTTATTATTTGTGAATTAGCTAATCCTTTAGAACAAATATTAAGAAAATGAGCTATTTATTGTGGGTTAACTGAAAATGATATATTTGAAAATTTAGACATGTTTTGGAAAAGTAATGCAAACAAATTACCATTATTATCTGATATAACTTTGGATTATATTTGGTTACCTATATTTAATTGTAGTGTTAAGCATAGCTTTTCTATTTATAATAATATTTTAGTTAGTGATAGATAAAATCTTTTTGAAACTTCACTTAAAACATTAAATATGATGTACTTTAATAAATAAAAATATAAATTTTTTTGATATTTTAAAATTGCAGAATTTTTGCAAAATGACATGAATTCTGCGGTATTCTGCATTTTGCAGAAAATCATCGTCCCTGCCTTTGGGGCCCAGAAATGATGCATATTAAATTTGCTGCCAGATAAGGCTGAGTAGCATTCAATAACATATTATCCGGTATCTTATGACGACTGAACCAACAGAATAGCTCGAGTTCTTTTGATGATGATTGCATCATCATCAAATAATGGAGTTATTTGATAATGATGCAATCATTATCAAAATAACTTGAGTTATTCTGTTGGTACATCATAGTAAGGTGCCGGATAATAATATTTTTCGAGGTTTATTCGGGTTATTCGAGTCACAACAATTAATTTATTGAAAGTTTTGTAAATTATGAGTTACAAAAAAAAATATGCTTCGAATAAAGAGTTATGCAAAGCAAATATAATTCAAAGTACATGTTATTATCACAGATTATAAGTTATAGCATATTAATTTTTCTCCTGTTCATTATTGCTTTAGTTTTGCGTCATATTTGTACAGATGGAAATGTCTTAAAAGTATAGATGCAGACTTATGACGCCATCTAGTTACGTCCTACATAAAAAAATCGGGTTATAAAATAAAATGCAATAGAGCCGTAGCTAGCAGTGTTGTTACTAGCCTTAAGGCTAGTACTTTTATTTAGCCTTTAGCCTTAAGTCTAATTAGCCTTAGCCTTAAGTCTAATTGGGCTAAATCCGACAGTTCATATGGCTAAATAACAACACTGGTAACTAGTGACGTAAATAAGTCTGCATCTACACTTAAAAGTTATTGAAAACTTTAAATATAGCAATTATATAGTTTATTTAAATTTCAATGAACAACATATAGATGTTCAGTAGTTACGTTAAAATTACATATGTACGTATTTACTATGCATAATTACAAATTTTATTATTAATTATTTTAACATCATACGTAGCACTAACGTAACACGTAATTATACATTAATAATTAACTCGTGAGTAACTCGCGAGTTAACTTTTCATGATTCGAAGAATGATAAATTCGAATTATTCGAGTCACAAGTTGACGAGTTCAGTCATTATTCTAAACAAATCCCGATAATAATGTGTTAAATAAATATGTAAAATACGGATTCACTACTATAAACTATTAAATCTCATAAAGGGTACATCTGTATAGACGCCATTATTTTATGGAAATTACATTACTTTCTTTGTCATTTACTGATATATTCAGATGTTACTCTATTTTCTGAATATGCTTTTATATTTTGATTCAATAAATATTAAAATAAATATTGTAACAAAATTTGTTATTGTAAAAAAAGGGGTTTTGAAAGTTTTAGGTTCGGCGAGTAATACAAAACGAGAATTAACTTGATGGAGCCTAATAATTCTGCTCATACAGGTTTTTTTTTTTTTTTTAATTTTCATAATAAATACTTGCACATGATAACCGTGAAGAGTCTTCTTCACGGTTTCACATGCAGACAATTTTATTATGTTAGTCAACTGTGAAGATTGGCTAATACAATAAAATACAGTAAAATAAGAAAGTGTTTTTAATATAACCGATTTATTAAGGGTTTATTAAGGGTTTATTAATTATTAATTATTAATATTGATAGGTTTATTATTAACCGCGAGATTCTTATTCTTGTCGAGTAACTCTTTTATATCTTTCACATCATCGTGAAATGGAAGAGACTTTAATCTATTATTTTCATAGCCCAACTCTTAAACTTAGTAGATTATCCTTAATGGATAGAATTTACTCTTTTTCCCTTCGATCTTATCCTAATACTCAAGCTCATTATCCGCAAGACATTCTCCGCGAATGTTCTTTGTATTCGCGTTTGTATCACTAAGCCTTATCTGCGATGATCGAAGTTTTCAAAATGTTGATCGTTCAAAGCCACGATCCTATGTTACCACGCCTAATTTCGGAAATCTAACTTTTAACCCATGACACCACTAATCGAGGGCAGTCACATCATTTAACTATATCGCTCTAAATATAAATTATCGTGATTGTTTCGAATTCCTTATTTATGTTTCTTAATTGTTGTATTTTCTATTATACTAAACCTCTTATGTAAAATATTAAATTTCATTCCGTTACTTTGCGAGCATCAATTCCGTTTAATATCATACATAATATCCATTTTAGTAATATACGTATAAACTTCCAAAATTGATCCGGCTGGGGTATGAAAACCAGGAAATTAAAATTTGTACGTATGACCATAACAATAATATAAAATGTTAGATTGGTAATTATCGTTATACGTATACGTACTATATGTATATACGATTACTAGCTGTAGCGATGGAGTTCTAAACCTAATGTCTTACCTAATGTCTTAATTTTAAACCTGGTGCTCTGAATGGACGACCTGAAACTGATCCAGTTATAATTAGTGTTTCAAGCTTATTAAATTTTTACGACTAGGCCAAGCCGTTAAATTTTTAATAGCTTAGCAGCTTAGCCGATAAGTGTAGCTCCAACCCAAAAAAAATATAGGTCTGCAGTCTGTCAAAATTTCCCTATATAATTAATATCAAAAATTGTATTCTACAACTAAAATTTCATGCTGAAAACTTTTACTTAGAGGTCGAAACTAAATTGTTGTGTTATACAATATCTTGTAATTTATTGTATCCGGACCAAGAATTTTATTTTCTTAACGTAAGGGTACTATAGATTTATAGATATTCAGCTAATGAAACTGTCAGCCGGCTAAGCAACTAAGCGGCTGACTGAGAGGCTGACTTGATCGGCTTTAGTATACTTGTTATAATAAATTAACAAATTACTATAACCAGGTTAGTTTCGAGTCGTTCAGATCAATCTCATTCGGAACATCATCTAAATCTTCTGTAATACAGTAAGTAAATCCCGGTCCATTTTAACAACAGATCCAAATCATGTATATTTAATGTTCATTGTTAAAAATCCAAATTTGTACATTTATTTACTGTACATAATTGTTTTGTAAGATCATCATGAAATTTTAAACTTTGGACGGGGGCCAAACACGACAGATATGAATATGCTAATCTAGTATTTAGAATATGTAAAAAAAAAAATTAGCATTAGTGTTAGTGTTAGCTTTAGATATTTATATAATAGAAAGACCAACATATGTTATATATGTTCATTGGCCTATTCAGTATTAGTGTAATGTTGCATGTTTTATATTGTTTCACGTTGGAAAAATTGAATGGTGGTAAATGATCGATTACCATTATTATATAAATACTATATGGGTTATCAAAATGGAATCAAATGTAATATCCACCCTATATATCAACCAAATTGCCTAAGCCAAATAGGTTGATATTAATAAAGGACGACTGTAATTGAAAAAAAAACGCTTAGGTGTTAGCGAATCTTCTAAAAGTTGGGGTTTTCAAGCACTTTCAACGATATGGATGTAACAGTTTTTCGATAAATATTAAAATCTCGATTTTTTGAGTTACATTTTAAATCAGTTGACGAATTCTTGATCATATATCTAATTTTTTTAATATTAGCATCTATTTTATATCCAAATCCTTTTTCATATTTCTTGTCAAGATTTATTTGTTGACAAGAACGGCCTTTTCCATAAATTTTCGCACAAATTAAACACACCAAACATTCTGAACAAGTACTCAAACGAAAGTTTAATAATGTTAAATGTGTCGACAGCACAATTATAAAATTATCTGTAGAACAAGTATGATATTACATTACATGTAACATAAAAATATTTATCTTTTATATGCCCAAAATCAATAAATTAATCGGATCTGCCGAAAAATCATTCCGCTAATTTTTTTTATCAAGTGCTCCAGAATTTATGAAAACGGTAGTAACATAGCATGTGTTAGGGAACTAAGTAAAAGTGTTGGGGAAGTAAAACTGTCGAAATAAATTTCAATTATATTTATTATAGTTTTTTAAAAGTTTCGGATTATAATTTCGGAGGTTTGAGTTTGTTTTTTTTAAAAAAATCTTGGATTAGAGCACCAGGGCATAAACTCATACGGGGGGACCAAAATTCCGGATCGGAATGCATCATAATCCTGGCCGGATGTGCCGGAATTGATTAATTTTGCCCAAGATCACTAAAAATTTTACTAATGAAATCATAGCTCATTCATTAAGTAAAAATACCCAGCTGATGATTTTGCTATAGACTATGTTGGCTAACATTGCTTAATGCCGATGCATTCCTACCCGGAATTTTGGTAATCCCCTGTAAAAAAAATCCAGAGCATATGGGTCATGGACTAGGAAAACAGCCCTTTGAAGGGGGGTTTCTATTTTGAGAAAATGACGATTATAGTTTGT